CGTTTTACTTGGGGAATGATTACTTTCCGGTTGTTTTCTGGAGATCTTTTTTAATCTTGTTTAGCTCATAACATAGCCTGTCTTCTTGATAACAGGATCATTTTCAACAGATCAAGAAAAACTAAACGACGTGAGAAACTGTGTGATAGGTCAGACCCCGACATGCCAAGCTGCCATTGCCCACACGAATGTGGTAAGTTTGGCCTGTTTCTATATTTGTTGTGCTTTTGCAACCCTGATAGAAGATGAATAAGTCGAGGTTTCGCGAAAACACCTGAGAGTCAAAGAAGAGAACGGAGTAAAGAAAACATTTGCACATGCATTTTCTTTTCGGGCTTCGGTAGCCGACAATCTACTTTTTATAAGGATTATTTGAGGGCTTTTTATGCCTTCATTTAGTGATAGGACACTAGATAGAGTCAGAAATCAGAGAGAGAGAATGGGGAAAGAAGCCACGGGTCAGATTCAAACCCGTGCCGCCCCCGCTTGGAGGACTACAGTATGGCCTCAGTATGTGGGGCGTGCACACTGACCACTAGGCTACCGGCGCCCCAGTGACAATCTTTTGATGAGATAATGAAATGTATTTCATGCTGTTTTTTCAACATGTACATTTCTGCGTTTTCTGATCTGACACAACTTTTGATGGACCACCTTTTGACAGGTTGATATTTTTTGCAAGTAAAATTCCAAATTAAGGTTTTCGAACCATTTTCTGATCAGATGCCACGATGGTTTGGGCTCTACTCTGTGAAGCCTGCATGACCTGATATATTTATCAATTTGAAGGCCAAACAACAAGATTTTACCAAAACACTGACATTCACTGAAACACTTTCTATACCCATTTGTGAAGTAGCGATGGTGAATGTGAAACTAATAACGTAACAAGCGGATTGGCACTAGATACACAGATTAACATTAGCTGTGTATCTTCATCCCAAATTTCTCCCTTTTCATTTTCCCTTTCAGCAGAATCTTGTTTGGTGAACACAGGAGGATTTCTCATCCTTTCGAGAAGCCTCCTCTCAAATGAAAATGTCCTAGTTTAGTGATTATTACATAACACAATCTACTCTCATCCATTTTTAGTTGTCTTATCCTGCCCATGCTCTTCCTGTCACACCCTTTACCTCCTCATGTCTCTGTTTCTGTCTTATTTATTGCAAGCTCAAATCCTTAATCTGTGTACAGACCAGCAAGACTCCAAAACACAACCAATAAATCCAACGTCTCCTCCTATTCAGCTTTTTGCAGCCTAATGCAGATTTCTCCTTATCCACTCAAGAATCAGCTCCCAGGTCAGTGATACAATTACTTAGACTCATCTAACTGTGGTGATACCAATACAGCTCATCTCTATGCAGAATGTGTTTTTCAGCTAATAGAATCATTAAAGAATATTTTTGCATTCAAGAACGAAACAAATATCAGTGTTTTCTTGTATGGAATCTGTCTGAAACATGTCTTTAGAGTGCATGCATAAAAAAAATGCTGCCTTCTTATGTGTTAGTAGAAGCAGCTGATTGGCTAAATCATGATTGACATCACACAGTAAAAATGACAAGAGCCCCTTTGCCTGACAATAGCCCAGCAGAGTGGGAGTAAAGTGTTGAAGTGATGCAGAGTGGAGTCTGCAGGTCAGGGATAAAGTGGGTCGAGGCTGCTGCCTCACCTGGCCCTCGTCTGAAGAGCAGGTTAGCCGAGCGGCTGTAACAACAGCCCTCACATTCCAAACTCTCAGGCGGGTTTGTAATGACTGCAATAATACAGGGAGCTATAAAGTACAACAGATGTGTAAAGCAACAACTGTCCCACCATCCCAAAGTATAATTTTAATCCAAAAGCGGTGCTTGGATCAAAACAACAATTTCCTAGAAAGTAACATTGTGAACACTAGAGGTTGTCTGCGATGGAGGATTGGTTTATTTTGGTGTCAAATTCGACCTCCAACTTATTCTCTGATACATTTTCTGGCCTGGCACGGCTTTAAGCGGTTGGGCACTTTCCAAAATGTAAAAATCCACTTTCAGTTTTTACCATGTAGTCAAGCCATGGTGTACGCTGGCTGACAAGGGCTAACATGCTGCTAAGGGTGCAAAACATTTCCACTGTAAAAACAGGCCGTCCACATGGTGGGATTTTCTTTTTTTAGTATTCAGAGTATAGTCGGTGATGTGTTTTTGGCTTTTAAGTTACAGTTGCTGTTTTTAACGACTGTGAACACGATTTTTGGTCTCTGATTGGATGTGTATAAGCAGCATGCAGTAGAAGATCATCCCAGTGTGCACCTTTTCTATCGGAAAGACGTTTTAAAGACGACAATGGTCAAAGTTGAAAAGATGTCTGCTGCTTCTGTCACAGCACGTTCACACACAGTGATTTTTCAGATGCATCTCATAATTATCTACTTACGGACTTCACCCAAAACGGAAATCGGAAAAATGCTGCTGCATTGATCATTTTCATCACCCCTTCACCCTTTCAATATTTGAACGAACCAAATACAAACTTATAAAACAAAATGTTGCTTCTGACTCGTAATGGATTGAGAGACTCGTATGTTTAAACCTGCATTACTGTTTTTAAATGGTTAATGGTAAATGGACTTGAGCTTGTACAGTGCTTTTCTTTCTTTGTCTTCTGACTAATCAAAGCGCTTATACACCGCACATCACACCTACCCATTCACACCCACATGGCAAAGATGCTCCTATGTAAAGTGACCATCAGAAGCAACTCATCCCATTCATACACATTTATATAGGCTAACGAAGCAGCGGCAGCAACTTGAGGTTAGTGTCTTGCCCAAGGACACATCGGACATGTGGCTGCAGGAGCTGAGGATCTTACCCCCACCTTTTGGTCAAGAGATGATCGACTCTACCAATGTAGCCCCTCTTACCACTCTGGGGCTGTGGAAACGAGCCCTAAACGTAACACTGACATATCATCACCTTTTCAAGTTAATGTAGTAATCTGTATGTATTCAGCGCTCACAGTGATATTAGCCTTCATTCTCAGTTTGGTCTCCGGCCACCTAATGAACAATGCCCCACAATGTTTAAAAGTGTCTCTAACCTTGTGTATGTCGTTTAGTACAGGAAGTGTACGACAAAGAGAGCAGTGAAATTTGAATGTTGCCCCTCCTTTGTCTTTGTATGCTTACATCCTTGCAGCACTTCATGGATGAAGCTTTAAAGATGAAAGCATAAACTATGAAAACAAGCTTCACATTTGATGAGCCCGTACTTGTCTGCAAGCCTCATTCGGTCGTTGACTACATGTCAGGAAACCCACACAGGGTTTGGCATCTATATCTGCCCAGACTCTGTCCCTATATCTCCTCCCCTCCTTCTCGCTCTGACCCAGAAGCACTTCTTCCGCCGATGGAGACTTCCACACAAGCTAAAAAAAGAGCCACTTTCCCATCTCTTATAGAGGAAAGAGTAAAAGGAGAGATACGAGGAGGAATGCAACCCCAGTGTCATTACAATGGATAATTTAAAAGCCAGGTTCTGCATCTGGAAAGCCTTCCCCCTGCCAGGAACTTAAACATGCACGTCTGCACTGAACATAACACATATAAGATAAACAGAAGCTGGTAAGAGCAGCACTTGATGTCTCTTTATTCCTCCCCCGGGAGACGTCACAGGAATAAAAGGAAAAGCTTCATAAGAATAATAGTGATAACAAGGAACAAAGACCTCTGTGCATGCCAAGAAAGCCAGAGAGGTGTCAGTAAGTTTCTTACGTATGTGTGTGAGTACATACAGGAAAATAAGATGTGACATAAATTCCACTGCCAGATTTAAATCTACACAACAAGGACTCCTAACTCAGATCAGTTAGATAGATACTGTAGCCGATCAACAAGATATTTGTCAGTGTAGCCAAAACCAATTATATGTTAATGAATTTGGCAACAAATATCTATTGTTTTTTTTTTCAAGGTGTGTAAATTCTTAAAACCCTCAGAACTGTCTTTTTAAACCATTTTTAGTTAAGGGATGAATGAAACACCTTTTTTTTTAGACTTTTTTCTGTTGCAAATGAAGACGCATTCAGTGCTCTGCTCAGTTTTTAAAGCATCAGGAGTAAGGTCAATATCTTAGAACATTCTGGGAACTACAAGCAAAGCCCTGAGCAATCTTAAATGTGCAGTAAAGAAGGACGTTTCTGTGCTGTATTGTCTCCTAGATCTTCCTGTTAGAAGATGATGGCTCAGGATTTGAGCCGCACTCATGCAGCGTTCAGCAAATCTCCCAACAAATGCCGGCAAAGCCTCGGCCATCCTTAGCTGTCTTATTAATTCCTTCCTCATGTAACATACAGCTGACAGCCCGGTGAACAGAAACCCCTCCGTCCTCTCTTAAATGATTTTACATGAATGAGCTGAAAAGTAGCATCAAGGTTTCTGTGCGTTTTTTTTTTTTACTGACAAGTGTGAATGTTCCTCGAGGGCTGTTTCATGGTGTAATGTGCTGCCGTGGAAGTGTGAGGAGACTCTTCTCGCCCTTTTTTTTTTTTTTTTTGAAGACTCAGCTACAGTCAGTCACTGTCACTCAACGTAGACTTTCAGAGGAAGAGAAAGGAATGAAAGAGAAATTGATGAAAGAGTTAAAAACCCAGAGAAGATGAGGAAGAAGGCGTTCAGGTTTTCAAATGGAGGTGTGTTTGCTTTCTTGGGTTACTTAATGCAACAAAAAAAAAAAAAAAGACATCCCAGACAGCAAGAGAATGGACTGCAGGCATTGTTCCCTCCCTGGTTTTGTCTCTGTCATAGAAATACCAATTATTCACCACTGGAGAACATTCCTTTTGACTGCTATTGGCATGTGGTCTGATTCTGCTTAGTTGCCTGGGTGACATGCACATCAGGAAGGCAACGCAGCATCTCCTGGCCTTCTAGCCATTAGGGCCTACTTTCCATCAAGAGAGATGCTCTCAACTGTGCGTTAAAAATGTTAAAACACGCGCGTACGCACATCTATACATACCTGCCGACAAGTAGGAACTCTCCATACACCCCCAGTCTCCTCATGGCCATCAGGAGACCTCGGACGGTCATGCCCTCGCAAAAACACACCACAACACGAGCTTTTGGGAGACGTTCCCGGAGTTTCCTCAAAAGGCGATCGAAGTGCTTCTCCCCCGCGTTGCTGTAGATTTTGTCCGAGTGGGCGATGCATAAGCCTTCCTGAGAGGCCAGCTCTTTGAAAGCCTCCATGCCACTCTCACCGTAGTTCCCTAAAAGTGATGAAGAAGAAGTTTGTTAAAAAGTGAGACTTCACCTGAAAGAAAACAACAACATTGTTTCCATTTGAAGTGCATGTTCACAGCCAGGTAATAGTAAATAAGCCATTGTGGGTATATATATAAATCATTTTCTGAGGCAGTTTCCCTAATCATGTACTCAATATACAGAGCATTGTTCTTTGATCCAAGTGACACAATTAATGTTTACAGGCCTTGTTACTCACACAAACACATCAATATTTTAAAATACGGCTCTACTTGCGCTCATCCAAAACATATATAATCATGACTCTGTGACAAAACCAATGTTTTGCTTAAAGCACACAGCACTAGCTCAGTGCTTCGAGTAAAGACCGAGCTGATCCGCTGATAATGACTGTCACTGGAGACAGTTTCCTGGCTACTGATTGCAATCAAAGTCAAATAGGGGGTTGAAGAAGATAGCTATCCTTGTTTTAACTGCACATGCACCAACCCAATCAAATGCCTCTGTAAAGCTGTTTGAGTTTAAATCTTCTATTTCCATTCAGGCTGCAGCGGCTTGACTAATGTGTCACGATCGGGATTGTTGGTAAAGCCCAGGGCTCTTTAGCATGAGAGCTGGATTACACAGACAATCCAATCATTTGTGCATGCTTGAGCGTGTGTGTGCGCGCGTGTGTATGTGTGTTTGTGGTTGTCAAAGGGAAGTGAGCAGCATCTAGCCACATATCTGAAACATTTGTTGTGAAATTGCCTTTGCTCAGGTCCCTGACGGCCTCACATGGATTGATCAGGGGCCTGTCCCATACCGTAACATACAGGCTTTATACAGCAGTCACATTCCTTTGTATAGGTTGAACTATTTAAATCCACCAATTTCACCAAATTAATATGACTGCCACTTTCTTTTGAATAGAATAGAATACCTTTGTGTCATCATCAATTGCTCACGCGTGCATCCAAAGGTTGAAGATAAACTAGCAAAGTGAATCTGAAAAACATTCATTTCTTCACTTGTAAATGAATCAGCAAGTCAAAAATGGACAATGGATAGGGGAAATTAATCATCACTCAGCCATATCAATTAAAAAACATTTGGTAACCTCATTGGCACCTCTGACAGCTAAGTAGGCCTCAAACCTTGAACTTTATTGTTCAAAAGGAATTTACAAAGTTCTTAGTGTAGCCTATAACTCCTTTAAAAGGTCATTATAACATTCAGACACTTCCAGGCTTACTTTTAATTAGTCAATGTGAATTTAAGCAAATGGCTTATCAATTACATTTATTAACTTAGAATATTGCTTGTATAGATGTTTTGCCTCAGATTTTTACAATCCACTGCTTTTTAATGGTGGAAATGTCATATTTCCTTTATTTATAGGACTCTCAAGCTGGAACATGGAAGTAGGGTTCAATCCCAGCATTTACACATTTTACACACCCTGAGTGTAATGTCGGAGCAAAATGGACAGTGTGTAATCAGATATATAAAGAACCTACAAAAAATGTGCAACCATAAATTGCCACAAAAGCTACTAACATGCTGCCTGTTGCAAAAAATAAAAAAATAAAAAAATAAAAATAAGTCCTGTCTGTGAGCCAATCGTAGTTTAAGGTTATTATGTGGCACCCTGTTTGGCCAATCAATTTTTATGGAGGGGGTTTCTGGCACCCTAGAATGCCTGTTGTACGTTCACCAGGGATAGGAGAACAAGCACTCTTTATATGCTATGTATGCTTTCTTTCTCGTGAGCAGAGCAGCTGAAATAGGCATCGCAGTAATGCATTTCCTCGCATTCACTCAGGCACGCGGTGGACACACGTGTTGCTTTTCCAATAGTCCTTTGATGATTTTTTATTTTTTTTCCCCCCAGTTGCCTCATTTCATTCTCCAACCACTAAATGGAAATAATATTCTCCAATTATTTCAAGCTTGCCATCCAGGCTGCAGACAGGTGGGTGGTGGTGCATTAGTTGACAACCCTGCTTGACAATGACCACAGAAAAAAAATTGCTTTGATTGCTTTCTACCAGCCTGATGATATTCAAAACAGGTGATTTATGCATTTTCCTTAGCTGTTGCTACGGGAACAGGCTGCATTTATAACTTGTCTGAGGTGGTGGAGAGGAGAAAACTGCAGATGGAGGAGAAAAATAAGTAGTATGTGTAAAAAACAAAAATCAAATCTGCACCTATGATAAGTGTAAGAATTTGTTTACAGAAAGAAAACAGCACCATTTACTTTCAACTAAATCTTTAAATTGTGTACTTTCAACTATTTTTTGGAAAGTATTCTACTTATATCACTCACTGATGCCTTTTGGGTGAATAATGTTGCTTGCAAATCAAATCCATCCATCCTTCCCCTTACTGGTCTTTCATTACTCTTAAATTATGACTTGAGTCCCAGAGGATCCTCCTGCAGGTTTATTGAAGGTCAGACAGCTGACGCCACCTAGTTATGCCTCCAGGTACTACAGCTCCCAAACTCCCTCTCTTCATCCGTCAGCCTATCTCCTGCACCTGACTATAATAGACTTTCCAAAGATGTTTTACACTCCCCAAGAGTCCTCAGCTCCTCGGAGGGAGGGAGGGGGGTGGGGTGTCATGGGTAATGTAGTCTGTCAGTCATAGTTTGGATGCACTTCAATGACTTCAAGACTAATGAAAAGCTAGAGACATAATTCACTTCAACTAGAGACATAATTCACTCAATTTTATCCTACCCTTCTCTAATTTCAGCTCATGTCTTTAAACTATGTTTTGCTGTGTCGCAGAAAAATTAACAAGGGAGTTTTCGCAAAGGAATGTGAGCACGCCAAGATGTGAATAGTAATAATGCCAGGGTTTCTGTCAAGATCATACATCCTCCCCTCCTCCCCTGACCCTTGTTCAATATAGTTAAAGTTGGAGCACTCTTGTTTGGCAGGATACTGACTTTTAAAAAAATGTTAACAATTCTGACGCAGCGAAGTACTTCCACCTACCTTGATGTTTCCACATTTTGCCCGTGTTGCAACAATTGAAACACTTTTATACGGGGGTTTTCAGCTTTTGATTAACCAACCAGAACAGCCCAGAAAGCAGATATTTGTTGGATGCATAAGTTTACCTGAAGGCAGTATGACTCGCAGGATATTTAGGGAGTTAACAGCATTAGACTCAAAACTGTTATGGCTGTAAATCCTTGTAAAAGCTATGTAATGATTTCCATCCCACTTCAAATTAATGTTCTATTTTGTGTTGATCAATTGAATACAGTCCCAATAAAATCCATGAGAACTTGCAGTTGTAGCATGACAACGTGTGAAAGTTCATTGTGTGATGAGGTTGTGCCTTCTCTTTTCTTGTGTTGCAGGTTGGTGTAAGGTGTGGCTGACCAATCAGTCTGACTGAGAGCATCTGGGCCCGATGCGCACAGTCATTATAAAAGCTGCCTCTTGAGTCTGTTCAGGAAGACTTTCTGCATTCGCCTTGTTTGGTTACTTTGTCTGCCTTCGCCATCCCACACATGCACGATACACTTTTCACACACCCACTCACTTACACTATTGACTCTACTGACATCCAAACTTCTTTTCTTTGGCAATTTAATTCATATTTTTGTAAATAAATCAGTTTAATTTAAGTGTTATTTGAGTGTCTCTCTCTTGATTTGCCATGGCCTTTGAGCCGGTCATGGCAGTGATTACTGCAAATATGCAAAACACTGTGATACATCATATTGTCAAAAAAGGCATCAAGTAAAAGTAGAGATTGGCAACACAAAGAGAAATCATAACCAGCTAATGTTTACACCATATTCCCTCTACTTACAGTCCATACAATAGTGCACACACACACACCAGCAGCATGATGCTTAGCATGTGTGGGAGGATGCTTTCAGTAATGTCCACATAAAACTCAACTCCAGGCAACTGTATTCAAATCCTAATTGAGATTTATTATACAACGACAGGCTGCAAAAATGTAGAGAGTCAAAGAGAAGCTTTAAAGGCTATTCTTTGAAATCAGTCCTTCTAAAAGAGACAAACTTTGCCGGCTTGGTGACTTTAATTGGGATTGTTTGAGGCTTTAGATATCCAAACATTCACGGAGTTGGTCAATGCTCATTTTGTTTAACTTTCAAGGTTCCACAAAACATCTCAAATCTAATTTTATCCACAAGAGGCCATTTTTAAATAATAGCCTAGTTATTATTTTGTATATTAAAGACTAACTTCACTTAAAATGGTTGTCTGCTCCCAAACTCAGAAATCATGGTAGTTTCTATTGACAGTAATGATGTCATGGGTGATCAAAAACAGCACAATGAAGGATGATAAAGGGACAACGTGGCTGTTGTATATGATGATGATGCTGATGATGATGCTGATGATGTTCATGTTCCAAATATTTAGGTCAGGGTCTCACCCTCAGTGTGCACCGCAGACACATAGGTCCAGTTGTGGAGCTTGACGATGTCCAGCATGGCTCGGGCCTGCAGGGTGTCAGAGGGCACCACTCTCAGGAAGTATTTGAACAGAGTCTTGTCGCTCAGGTCGATGCTGGTGGCAGAGTATGCGATCTGCGGGATGTTAAAGAGCTGCAGGAGGTTCTGCACCTGGATGGCCACAGAGCTGGAGCCGGGTCCGATCACTCCGGCGATGGGTTTCTTTGAGGGTGGAGGCTGGTGGGAGGGGGTCCCGTCGATGCACCATTTGGATCCATCCTTATCATCCCTGATGGAGATGAGGGAGTCCCGGATAAACTCAATGCTCTGCTCCAAGGCCACAGATGAGTGCCAGCAGGAGTCCCGGATTTCACAACCCAGGCTGATGTTTGGCAACAGGTTCGGGTCCGCGTTGATCCGGTCCAAGGTGTGGAACATGGCCTCCACCCTCTGGATGCCGTACTGTTCGCGGACGTCCCCGCACTTCCGCTCTGCCACCTTCTCCGCAGACGGCTGGTGGTGCACGGAGAAGAGGGCACCGATGATCACGTCTCCGTCCATGCGGGCCACGGAGCGGGACACTGCGCGAGGGACCGCCGCCCTCTCGTATATGGCGCTGCTGTGGGAAAGCACGAGGGCGCGGAAGAGGAGCGTGGGGAGACACAGGAGAGCGAAGAGACCCATCTTTACGCGTGCCATGTTGTGCCACATCGCGTGAGCCGTGCCAAGTGCGCAGGCATAGGCATACTATCTGCTGTCTGTCGATACATCCACGTTTATCCCAGCGACCATGATGTGCGAGCACGAGACCCGGGGCAGATCCGCGTGCACCTGTAGGAGAACGACACAAACTGCTTAGACAAGTGAGAAACAAGAGCAGATGTGCTCTGGCTTTATGTAGACAGAGTTGACTTAGCACGCATGCTCATTTGCATACACGCCCTGTTATACATTCCTGTTGCTTGCAACAGTCTTCGCGCCTTTTCCACTGAGGTGCCTTTGAGCAAGGCACTTAACACACCTCTTCCTGACCAGCGGGCTTTGGTGGCTCTCCAAAGGGATTTTTTTTATTAGAGGGATAGTTAGATCTCTATGGAGCAACCAGGTACTCTAAAATCTTTTTTTTTTTTTACATTTAGAATATAAGGCTAAAAGAGGCAGGATGCACTGAGCTCGTTTTCCATTGACAAAGCCGTCCAGAAAGCAGATTTTCAGCACCGTGGACAGTGCGCTTTCCAAACACGTTGCAAGGACGTGTCAGGGAATGTTTCCTGCACTCGTTATCCTCTCACACACACAATGTTCCCCGTTTGTAATGAAACCGAGAAACAACAATCGTTCCCTATTCGACATCTATAGGAATCATACATAAAGATTATGCACGAGGCTGCGTATGGTTTAGACTCACCCTACAGTGTGCTTCTTATCCGTCATGCAACAGAGAGTACATCGCTTGATGATAATCATAACCATAACAGTAATCGATCCATCCATCCATACACACACAGAACTAGTATCTGTTAGAATTACATGAATTGTGTTTTTCAGTAGCCTGCGTTATCTTGATTTTTTTTTTTTTTTTTCATCCTCATTTTCACATCAAATACAATTAGGTCGGAAATTTCTGTTCAGTGCATCAAAACTTACCTGAATCCTTGAGACATGCCTTCGTCCGTCTTCTGTGGCGCGTGGTCCTTGGATGAATCACTTGAGTCTCTCTCTCTCTCCCTTTCTCTCCCTCACTCTCCCTCTCTCTCTCACTCTCCCTCTCTCTCTCTCTCTCTCTCCCTCTCTCCCTCTCTCATAAACGTGAACATGTAGACCCCCATTTCGCCTTCAATACAGTTTTTTTCTAAAGCCTTCAAATATGTAGGCCTAATAAAAATGTAAATGAGAATAGCACCTGCAAATATGAGCTAAAATGAAAGCAAACCAGAGCCTATAGAAATGTGTTGTCACTTATATGACTTTAATAATCACAACAACGCATGTGCAGTTATTATATGCATGATATTTTAAACTCTTTATCAGTAACTTAAAAAATGTGGAGCTCCGTTTTTTATAAGATACACGAATGTTAAAGGAAATGGGCGGAACTGCAGCTACGTCCGAACAATGTTTCTACCTCGCTTAAAACAGTTTCAATGTGTTATTAGTCCATATGTTCCATTATGTTCGATATTGGTGGCAACTTAACATTCAGTCTGCCAATAATCATGTTTTGCCAAAGTTTCAGATTTCATATTTTATGACCACTCACTAAAACGTGTGGAAAATAGAAGAGGTAGGTTAAACCATCTCATACGACCCATCCTTGAGTTTACATGAGGCCACATGGCTTTTAATAGAGCTGCTGAAAAGACACTGCAGTTAATGGTTTTAGCACCATGGAGAGCGATGAACGTTTTGCACAGCGCCATCTGGCGTTTGGCTGGAGGTCGTTGATTATGTTTCGATGAGCAGGTAAGAGCCATGCAGTCGCAGTCGTAGATTTACTCCAGCTGCTGAATGGGACTTCATTTGCAGCTAGCCTGAGATTAACAATAATGCAGTAAAGGTGTTGGTATGTATTTATTTATACAACCCAGATCTGAGTTCGTATGGAAAATGAATTTAACATCCAGTTTTTGAGTATCAGTATGAAAGAGCCAATGTACATGAGTGGGCTATTATTGTTTTGATCAAGCAGAAGCCTTGTGATAAAGAGAAAGCTAGTGATCAATAATCGGATTTATTTGAAAGGCCGTTTTCTCTCACTAAAACTGTTGTTAATGTCTTAGTTTCTGATGAGACAAAAACATAACAATGTCTGGCTTTTTCTTAAAAAAAAAAAAAAAACATCTATCAGCGTTCAAGTCTATTTTTCAGGGGGGGGGGGGCACGAAATTTCGCAAACAAAATCACACAAAAATGAAAAAGCAAGTGTTTGTTTTGTTGGTGGAAAAGCCCATTAAACAACAGTATAATAATACAAACAGTAGCGTCAAGGAAGGTTTGAATTTCTACACTAGACACCTCCATGAAACAGGTGGGTGGGATAGTTCACAGCCCCACTAGTGGTCAGGTTTATCATTGATTCACTTATTCAGCCATCCAACACATCCAACTGGAAGGCTATTTACTGTGGGACCTTAGTATCAGATTTTATGGTCGCCTTGCTCAGTCACTAATCCTCAAATGAAGCACATAAAACACTGAATCATAATCGTTTTCATGTCATTTTGCTTTGGATTTACAAAAAACTGAAAACAGCATGCAAGAGAAAATCCGGACAGAAACTGTGAATGCATTTTGTTCTCATCCTAAATCCTTTAAACATATTTTACATCTTCAGTCGATCTGAAGATGTAACATAGGCTTGTGCATTTAACATTTTAGATTGAATCGGATTTTGCTGTTGATGTTGTCCTTGTATCTTCTGTGTGCTCCTGCAAAACTAATTTCCCCTTGTGGTACACAGAGAATCTGATTTACAAAATACAAACACTGTCATTTTTTTTCTTTTTTTTTTAATACTTTGTAATTTCATTACAAGAAAGCACAATTTCGTACCCCTTTTATATTGTTAAATGTCTTTATTTTCAAACAAAATAAAGTGATGGTCTCTCTGTCTTCATGCATTTGTTTCCACATTTAAAGTCGAGTGTATTCGGTACTGCTGAGCCATGCGTTGCTGCTATGTCCATGAGTCAGCTCCTCCAGCTCCAGGGGTGCAGTTTTGTAGGTGACCCCGACCTCGAGACGTGGTGTCTTACAACACTGAACTGAGGCACACAAGTTGAACCACAAGCCGGGAGGCCACTTGAAAAACAGTGCAACAGCGACCTCCTCTGTTTGTTTCTGGTTACTGCTTGTAAGCCTGTTAGGGTCGAGAGACATGAAGTGATTTTCTTAATGAAAATGTATTTTTTTCTGTGACTGTTCATCAGAAAATAACAAGTTTTAATTTTGTATCACATTGTCATTAAAACATGATCTGACAAGCATTATAACGTAGCCTACCTGTTATCTGGATTTTTTATATATATCTTTTCATAGTTTGCATAAACAAATAGGATTATCAATGGCATATTGAACAAATTAACGTTAACTAAAATATTCTGTAATAATTAGCATATAGGCTAGTGACATTTTTGTCATATAATTATATGAATTAGAAACACAATTTTAAACGTTTAAAATAACTAAGTCTTTGTGTATTTTTTGTTAATAAAATACGAAAGATGACGTTTTTTTCTAAACAATTTCACCTTGTGTGTAACCTAAATTCTTTTAAAAGGCCTACATTTTGACTTAATAATAATAATAATAATAATAATAATAATAATAATAATAAATTAGATTTATATAGCGCTTTTCTAAATACTCAAAGACGCGTTGACAGGAAACAACAACAAAACACAAAGCAAAAACTAAGAGAACAATACAAAATAGAAATAGTGTTAAGGGAAGAGGACTTATTCATACATTTGCAAGTTCTTCGGAATTTAGATTTTTCTATTATCATAAATGCACCCTGTTCTATGTCTTCCTTTATTTTTCTTATTTGCCTAATTTCGTGTCCATCTGAGAGTCGTTAAGAACACCTGAAACTATAAATGTCAAATGACATTTTTGTCAATAAAGTTTTGAACCGGGGAAAAAAAAAAAAAAGAAGTAGCTAGCTGGAGTTAGCAGCTTCTCCACAAAGGTAACCTCAGTAACAGCATTTGCTTGTTGTATTTGTTTTAATACCAAACATACCGGATCACACATTATTATTATTATTATTATTTTATTTTTTTAAAACGCTACGATAAGGTAAGAAGCTTCCGACATGCCAACTCAACATTATTTAGTTAAGTTAGATTATCGTGAACTTCCGAGCTAGCTAGCTGCTGTTAGCCGGCTGCGAGCAAAAACAAGTTGTAACAGCGAGAGAACATTTGACAACAAACTGTCTTCCTGTAGTGTTACAGTTTAATCAAGCGAGTGTACAGAGAAGTTACACATTCCCATTGGTGCTATTTGTTGTTAGTAATCTTGCCAGGGTATTTTTGGACTGTATATTTCCTGTTAGGGAGATTCTAGTCTTCTCTCTTTTTGTGGCTACATCTCTTATCTAATTAAGACTTTTATGCATGCATATCATGTGATTTAGTTTTGATAACTTCATGGTTTAACAACAATAGATGACGTGTGGTTTCTGATGCAACACAAGCTGCTTTTATGACGCATTCATTAAAGCCAGTCCTTAAAATAACTACATTTAGTTATTTAATACAGAGTTAGATTAATCAGCATCTACAGATTTATTAACATGAATTAAATATCAGCAAAATGCATTTAAATACACAAAAAGGAAAAGCTATATTAATCATATTCTGCATGTTTATATGAACTGAGAACGATGTTTATAAGATACATTATAGTCACAGTGTTAGTGTCACTGTTTTTTTATTTTTCAGTCAGTATAGGAAATCATCCTGCTGAGAGGAAACTGTACAATGTGTGTGTGATAGCAGAGATCAGTCACTCACAGAAATCTACCTTTCTGTAAGTATACTTTCAAAGATTCATTCGTGTATTTGTGTTTGTTTGTTTAGGTTCTGAGGAGCACTCCCTGGAGAAATGTCCCCAGAATAGGAAAGGAAAGGTTTTGACCTCATTGATATCCAGCTGGGAAGCTTCCCTAATAAGGTATTGGTTTGAGACAACGTTTTGGATGAATCACGTGACTGCAGATGACTTTCCCATAAGGTGGAGTGGGGGCAGTGTTTAAGCAGGCTTTACAAAAAGGCTGCATATTGTTTGGTGTTTGTGTTTGTCAGTTTAGCTGCTGTGTCAGTGTTGATGAGAAAGCTTGAGGTATAAGATGACAATAGATGCTCTGTTTTCCAGTAGTGTTTTTATTCTTCTTCTCTTCTTACAACACTGTCTGTATTTAGCTTTCATGACTGATTTATGGAGTAGTTTTCTATATTTTTCCATGTGACTCCTTCCATGTGATCCATCCTGTGTACAATGTTATGCTGTCTTTATTCTTTGTTGGACAAAGACGTTTTGGAGCTCTCTTCCTGAATGTGCTGCAAAGAAATTTGAAGCATGAGTCTCAGCAGAGACAGTGACACCTGGTGGCTGGCAGTAATTATTGCAATGATTCATGACATGACCCGAGCTGCATAGCCATGCCACGCTGATTACATTATATTATTCCTAAATGGGTGTAACAAAAGTCCAAGAAGGGTTCTTTAAATATTATTATCTGCAATATTAATTTGCAAAAGTTCACAAAGATTATTTCATAAATGTGTTGCCCAAAAAGCCTGCATATTATGCAACTCTCAACTGAAGAAACTAGTGTTGTATATGTTCTCCGTGGGCAGACCACGCTTTTCTTCATGATTGTGTGACTGAGAAACACAATATGTATTGCCTAAATTCAATATGTTTCTGCTTTCCGCTACTGAATGAAGCGCTGCTCGATGTGCTAATGACTTTTGACCCTTGTAGAGTCATCAGTCACATGGTGGCTGTCATTTGACAAAACAAAGACACAATGTATTGAAACAGTGCACAAAAGAGGGTTGAAACAGACTTTTGTGCCTCTTGTTTATCCAACCAGCACTTATTTCCCCAATAGAGGTCCATTCAAACAAGAGTTTTGTCTCGTCTTAAATAATCAGACAATTCTGTTTTCTCTTATTTTTAGGAAAGTGGATTCCTCACCGACACCCTCGGGTCTGAA